TTCTTCCCTGAATCTCATCTCATTTCTTTCTTTCTTTTTTTTTTTTTTTTGGAACCTATCAGGAAATACACTTGCTTGTGTGTCCTTCCAGAAATATTTTATTGATCCTCTCCCCGCCTCTCCCCGTCCCAGGTCTTTTATTTTTCTTTTATTTTTTTCTTTCATGAGCTAATTATATTGAACTTCTTTATTTCCACTTTTATTTTAGATTCAGGGAGTACATGTACAGGTTTATTGCATGGGTATATTGCATGGCACTGAGGTTTGGGGTATAAGTGATCCCATCATCCAGGTACTAAGCATAGGTAGTTTGTCAGCCCTTGCCCCCTTCCCTCTCTCCTGCCTCCAGGAGTCCCCAGTGTCTACTGTTCCCTTTATGTCCTGTATACCTAGTGCTTACCACCCACTTGTAAGTGAGAGCATGTGATATTTGGTTTTCTGTTCCTGTGTTAATTTACTTAGGATAATGGCCTCCAGCTGCATCCACATTGCTGCATAGGACATGGTTTCATTTTTTTTTATGGCTGTGTAGTATTTCATGGTGTATATGTACCATATTTTCTATATCCAATTCACCATCGTTAGGTTGATTCCATGTCTTTGCTATGGTGAGTAGTGCTGCAGTGAACATTGAGTGCATATGTCTTTTTGGTAGAATATTTTATCTTCTTTTTGGTATATACCCAGCAGTGGGATTGCTGGATCAAATGTAGTTCTGCTTTAAGTTCTTTGAGAGATCTCCAAACTGCTTTCCACAGTGGCTGAATTAATTTACCTTCCTACCAACAGTGTATAAGCATTCCCTTATCTCTGCAGCCTTACCAGCATCTGTTATTTTTTGACTTTTTAATAACAGCCATTCTGACTGGTATGAGATGGTATCTCATTGTGGTTTTTATTTGCATTTTTCTGATGATTAGTGATGTTGAGCATTTTTTCATATGTTGCTTGGCTGCTTGTATGTCTTTTGAGAAGTATCTGTTCTTGTCTTTTGCCCATTTTTTAATGGGGTATTTGGTTTTCGCTTGTTGAATTGTTTTAAGTTCCCTACAGATTCTGGGTGTTAGACCTTTGTTGGATGCGTAGTTTGTGAATATTTTCTCCCATTCTGTAGGTTGTCAGTTTACCCTGTTCATGGTTTGCTTTGCTGTGCGGAAGCTCTTTAGTTTAATTAGGGTCCCACTTGTCAATTTTTTTTTGTTGCAATTGCTTTTGAGGACTTCATCGTAAATTCTTTCTGAAGGCCGATGTCCAGAATAGCATTTCCTAGGTTTTCAAACTGATCCGTTTTTTAAAAGCTAAATACATGCTAAGAAATTTTTTTTTAAATAATTCTCAACCCAATTAAATCACTTTTAAAATATTTTAAATAATAAATATTCTTTTTTCCTCTTTAATTTGTATAAAAATAATTTCTAAAAAGCAAGAAAGAACGTCTCTTTTAATACTTCATGTTGGCAGCCATCTGGCAAGAATTGTAAAAAAATAGGTATCTTTAACAAGGTTTTTTTTTCTTTTTTTGTCTTCACAGCTGATCTTGCATCTTTAATGGATAAAACATTTGAGAGAAAGTTGCCTGTTAGTTCTTTAACAATATCACGGGTAAGAAAATTTTAACATATATATTTTCCAAGAAGAAGGAAGAAAGCCAGAAAGGCCCTTCATGTAGATGAGGCTGTGTAAATAAAAAATACTTTGCATAGGAAATATTTTTCAAGACTATGGTATGTTTTTATAGTTACTAATAGATATTTTTATAGTGTAGTAGCAAATTTCTTTGGCTGAAATAAAAGGTAGTACATTTATCAGATTCTGATATCAGTAATCACTTTTGTGTGTCTGATTTATTTTATTTTTTTCCAGGATATGATATTCTGCTGTATGATACCGTCAGTTTTTTTAAGTTGATACGTCCTTCAAAGTAATGATATTTACCCGTTAGTATTGGAAGTGTTTTTGATAGCCAAGAAAGTCTGTAAAAGAATGGATATTAATGTTAAAGTTAAACTGCAGCAAAGTAATGGTTGGAAGAATAATGTTAGGTTAGGAATCAGGAATAGTAACCATTACTGAGCACCTTCTATGCCAGTTTTGAATGTATTAGTTCCTTAACATACATTATTTTTAAAATTCTCACTGCTCCCTATGCAATAAGCGGTCTATGTAAGACATCGTTTAATAACTTTTCCAAGTTCACATAGCTTGTAAGCGTGGAAAAACTGAGATTCAAACCCAGATAGCTAGGTTCTCTTCTGTTGCCTGCTTCAAATATATCTGGGCTTGTCTTTATCACAAATTCACTTTATGACACTGGGCAATGAGACCCCTCTCAATTTTCTCATTTTCAGCATGGATACGGTTGCATCTTCCTCCCAGGGAATAATGGGATGCTAAAATGAGATTTTAGCTGTGAAAACTTTTTACAGAAATTAAGGGCACCATAAAATTTAAAATATTGTTAAATATGGAAGAGAGAGAGGAAATAAATTACCTTTCTTTTGAATCCTGGTCCTTTCTTTCTGCCTTTTAGTTGAGAAACAGTTTTACTGGTCATAAGTTATATTTAATAGACTCATAACTGGCATATTAGAGGAGAATGGAAAGGCCATTGGTTCATCCCTTACATGATAGGTAAAACTTCTGTATGCCATAATACTTGCTATTTATTTAGGTAGTACTTCAAGGTTTACAGCTTTTATGTACATTTTCTCATTGGTGCCTTATACTCTTCGGGGCCGGTGCGTTTATCCTATTTATGCAGATGGTGCAACCAAGTCCCAGAGGGGCTGTGCCATCTGTTTATGCCATACAGCAAACAATCAGAGCTGTTTCTCAAGCTCAGGTTCTGTGTTTGAACCACATTTTATATGCCCTTAATGGATTTCTAACTCAAGTCTAGAAGTGCTAGGGATTTTTAGAAAGTCTCCCTCTTTTTACTCTCCTCTCTTCTATGAGGTTTTCATTATATTCACAACATGCATTGTCTTCTACACTTTTTTTTTTTTCTTTTTTGCCTCTGAGTCTCTATTTTAGAATAGAATCTGTCTTTGAAATAATCCTTTTTATTTGTTTATTTGGACCATAGTTAATGAGCATACTCAGAGATTTTATGGTTTGAAAGGAGAGTTTGTTGGTAAAGGAATCATAGGTTTACTGTTGCATAGCAGAGCTTAAATCAAAGTAGGAAAAAATGGTTGCAAGACTGAATTCTCTAAATTTAGATGTTTATGTTCTGGGCAATAGTTTTTTAGCCATCAGAGTCTTCATTCTTTCAGCCATATGTTCCCGTGTTTGGAACATAAAGAAAATAGTATCAGGATTTAAAGATAAAGGAAAAAATAGGTAACTAGTTATAATCAGTGGAACACTCCTTGTTCTGAGCAAGCTTCATGTTTGGCTTTCAATCCATTTTCTGATCAAGGTTGTTCCACAAATAGAAAAAGAGAAGCCATTGTATATTCTTTGTTTGCATTAGCATAAAGGGGTTTCAAGGATGGAGCCATACCACGTGAACATTTTTCCACTAAGCATCACCATCGTTCTAATAAAACGGGTGTCCTGTGTTTTGTAAGGTCAATGTGTGATCTAGGCCCTAGGCCAAATATATGACATAATTTATATTCAACCAAAGGTTTCTTTTTCTGTCTTTTAGCTTGTAGACAACATTTCATCTCGGGAAGAGATAGATCATGCAGAGTATTACCTTTACAAGTAAGTTTTCCTTTTGATTTGGCTGTGTACTCTGTGATTTCACACCCTTTTTTACATAAAAGTTGGTATATGTTATGTATAATTTTGACACCTTCTAAGTTTATATTTTAAAGATCTTTTCATACGAGTATAGAGTTTCTGATTTTTTATAACTGCATTTTTTTCCATACCGTGAATGTATCATTTAAACCAGTTCCCTTTTTATGGACCTCTAGATTATTCTCTTTTGTATTGTATACAATGTTAAAATTGATAACCTTATACATATGTAATTTTTCACCTAATTTTCATGAGTATATGTATTTATAGTTTTAATCGCTATTGTCAAATTGCTTTCTGTTAAAGTTTTTACATTCCCACTAGCAATGTGTGAGAGACGTATATTTTTACAGCTTGGCCAATAGTTAGGTATTTTCACATTTGCATTTTTTTGCCAATCTGATCAGTGAAAGTTTATACACACACACACACACACACACACACACACAAAAGTTGAGTATCTCTTACCTAAAATGCTTGAAACCAGAAGTGTTTAAGATTTTGGATTTTTTAAGATTTTTGAATATTTGCATTATACTTACTGTTTGAGTACCTGTAATTCGAAAATCCACAATACTTCAATGAGCATTTCCTTTGAACATCATGTTGGTGCTCAAAAAATTGTGAATTTTGGAACTTTTCAAATTAGAGATACTCAATCTGTATGTATATTTCTTCTCTCCTTTTTTTTTTTTAACAGGTGGAATTATACCCAATATGAACTATTATGTACCTATTTTCAATTAACACTGTTATAAAACCTTTTCTACATTACCACATTTACTTCATTCTTTCTCAGAGCTGCTGACAATTCCATTGTGAACTACTCACAAAACTCACCCGTGTGTACAAAAAGTATGTTCAGTACAGCATCATTTATGGTAGCAAAAGACTGAAACAACCTAATGCACATTAAATAAAGAACTGGTCAAACAAATATCTGTCAGAATTGTACCTTACAACTAAATTTTTATTGTGATTCCAGTTTTTAAAATCTGATTTGTGATTTCATCCAGTTCCTATGTTCCAAAAATAGACTCAGATTGAAATTTTAAATGTTTCCAGTAAGCAGTGCGTTAGGGTTTCCCATTTGATCTTGCTTGTTGTGCTCAAGAGAATTTTTAGTTATTTCTGTCTAGATGCATTTTCATTTTTTGTTGTTTTTTTGGGGGGTAGTTTTTTTCTAGATGCATTTTTTAAAGCTTACTGTATTTTAGTGAAAATTTATTCATTTTTCTTTGATTTTGCTAAATAATAATGAGGCTTTTTTTCAAATTTCTGAATTGGGTAGATGCTACCACTTTTTGGGTGTTTTCTATTTAAATGTAAACCTCAAGTACGCTAGATTCCGCACCTTAAAAAAACATTTATTTTAAACCTCAGATTGGCTGTAATGGTGTCCTAAGTTGAAATTCTAGGTACTAACTTAGTTGCAAGTCATCTTAGTTGTAAGTGCCCTCTTTTACTTCATTAGGATAATGAAAAATGAACCCCTTGATGAGAGCTAGCCCTGCCTTCCTTTAGTGGCTCTTTGGGACTGTAGGACTGCTTTGGTAGTTATTTTTTGTCTATGGTGAAGAGTGTATTTGGGCTGGCATCTGGCCAGTTCTCATATTTTTATTTATAGCAAAATGCAGAACATAGTTTCAATTTCTAAATATAAGCTGTTTTTTTAGAACTTCATCCTGTGAGATACAGTGCCATAGTATTGGGAGAAGTATGTTCCAAATTCATAAGTACTTCTGTAGTATATCATTGATTTCAGTGACTCAGCATTTCAACAAGTATTTACTTAGCACTTATTATGTGCCCAGGCCCTGTCCTGGGTGCTGGATATCTAATGTTGAATAAGTTAGACATTCTCCAAGTATTACTGAAAAGTTGAAGTTCTGTTTTTAAGATCTTCTATGATTAATTCTTCACACGTTCAGTTTTGCGTGGCCTGGGGTATAACTGAAAGTTTCGTAAGATCACTGTGTTCTATTTCCTTATAGATCATATAAAGGACTCTTGTCCGTCGTAAGTCTGAGCCACTGTTTAACTGAACATCCCATTTCTTGCTTTAATCAAAACTAATTCTTTAGCTATGATTTACCATTTATCTTAGTTCTTTCTCCTCCCTTCCATTACCAAGAAAATTGAAATTGACTCTCTTTTTATCAGCTTTTTTTTTTTTTTAAGACAGAAATGTTTTTATGACTTCATGTGCTTGTATATATATGAGACTAGGTAGAACTCTACAAAGCTGCATTGATACAGTAGAGATTGGCTGGGTTCTCTCGTTAGCTAAGTGCCTCACTCTTGCTTTCTAGCCTTAGAGAATATACAGAATATACTTATGCCTTAGCAAAATTAAAAATTACAAGTTATAAACTCTTAGGGTTTCTCTCAAGTAATCAAAATCAGGGATGTTAATCCTGAAGACACCAAGGACTTACTACTGTGTAATATTTCTACCAGTTAGGGCTTCAATCATTATGATGCCTAACACTCCTCATGGGATGACTTTAGACATCTTGGAGTAAACTTAACAATTCGAGATCTAAGGTGAAGAAATGAAGAAGGAACGTCTGTCTTAATTTTAGATAACTCACAGCTTGCAGGCCTGGGGTTAGGATTTCTCAGTCCTTAAGCAGTACTGTCTTTAACAGTGAAGCCCACAGAAGAACTTTTGCATTGGTTCACCTCTTTCTCTGACATGGCCTGTGAACACCAGGCTCTGCTAGCAGGAGTGTAGCTGCCACATCTTCTCCTCTTCTAATGATCACATTTCTGCAATGATTATGTAAAGTCTAGAGCCAAAGAAGTTTAGAAACCTCGAATGATCAGTGAAGAGCTGATTGAGCTTCTGCCATTGCATCAGGCATGCAAGTGAACAGTTCCAAGTTCCAGCAGCTCAGGGTGCTGCTGGTACCTGCCAGCTTATTATCACCCTATCATCCCAGCAGAATATTTGAAGCTTTGAATCTCCCAAAGTACATGGGCTTAAATGTTTAGGGACTTCAACATTAAAGGGATCTTTTAAGGAGAGATAGAAAGGCTGCTGTTCAGTCAGCAGACGGGAGAACAAATTCCTAAGTACTTTTATTTGGGCCATGGTCTATTCTCTGGGAGCTGGCAATCCTATGATCAACTTTCACCTTCTGTTTATAAATAAAAAATGAAAACACCAAGGAAAGGGTGAAACTCTACCCAAACAATAATGTGAACTAAAAATGGTTAAGGCAATACCAGAAACTATATTCATTGGCCAAAACAAAAAAACAAAAAAACTGATAATACTCATATAACAGGAAAATAAACCAAAAACCAAGAGTAAAAGTGATTAAAATAGCAACAAGGTTAAAACAAAGTAAAACAAAATAAGAAAACAAGGCATACTGTTTGGCTGTGACAAATACAGAAAACGTAAATAAGATAATAAAAAATAAATACAGTAAAATGAAATAAGGATTTGAGCCAGGGACTTTATATGATATGTACAGTTTAAGCTGGGTGATTGGGAAAATAGGCATAGGTGTGCTCTTGCACAGATAATACTAGCAGGCTAAATGGTAAACCTCTTTATGAGTAGGTTTCAAGCTGTCTTCTGAGAAGCCCTGAAGCTAGTTTCTTACAGGCCCTCTAGGGCGTGGCTTGGGGGAAGAATAGGTCTGGAGAGAGGCCAGACCATGCTGCCACGGGCCATTTGCTTTTGCTTCTGTTTCTGCCAGATAAACTGTGCCTCCAGCTGCCTTATCGGAGTCTACAAAGAAAATTCAGAGAGGACTGTGAACTTGAATAAGAATAAAATCATATTTTATTTTCACTAACCTCAATAATATTTAGCATTTCTTTCACTTATGCATGTAGGCAGCAGATAACTATAATATTAACGGCATCTGTGTCTTTCTTGCCAATAAAAATCATTGATTTTTTCATATCACATTACATTTGTTACAGATATCATCACTGCTTAGAAATTATGTTAGTAATTAAATCTACCACTAGCTAGTGTTATTTCATCCATTAATAAAGCAGCACATATGTTACCATATCCCAAGGATTTCTTAATATCTTGACAATTGTATTTCAATATAATTGGTTTCTGTTGTAAAAAACTAATTCTGAGATGCCTTCATCAGACTGCCAGAGGGTTCGAGACAAAAAATTGTTAGGAACCGTGCTGTGAGATCTTGTTTGAAAAATAGGTTCTTTTGCTTAGACTTATTTTTATTTCTTCTCTCGGGTTTTTTGGGTTTTAAGTACTTTGGGTCTTTGTTTTCTCTTCTTACAAAGAAGACTTTCTTAGTTTAGACCTTACCAGGTAAGACAAGCATATAATTGATAGGTTTTCTGTCTTCACAGTGAAGATTTAGATACAGCCAGTCTCCCAAGTTTCCCTACAACACCAGAAAAAAAGGTGTGGTGAGGAGTGAGAAGATTTGGACAGGCCCTGAGATGCTGCATGTCAGACCAGTGCTGGCAGGGGGCTAGGCAGGAAGATTTTATATCCCACGTTAATTTTAAAAACAGTTGAGCAAAATACTTTCTTTCTCCGGGCAAAGGATTAATTTCTACTTCCTATCCACATGCCCTCTCGTTAATATTTGGAAGAGAAAAGGGCTCCTACCTTTGCTTTACTGTAAACTTACGCCATTCCTAAGAATTAGATTTGCATCTTTATTTTACTCATGCAGAGACTAAAACATAGAGATTGGCTGAGCACACACAAGACTCAGAGACTGAGTATAAGCCCCTGCCTGTCCTGAGAGGGAAACCATAAGGATCAGATGTGAGCAGTGGGGCAATGCTATGAAAACAATGCAGTGCTGTCTCAGTGCAAGGTTTTATCATTAAGGATCCCAGATGGGGCTACAATTTCTTTATAGGAAACTAAGGCAGAAGAAATTCCAGAGAGACCAGGCTTTGCTGTTCCTCTACAAGAGATCCCCTTTTGGGATCTGTCTGCCTGGAGTCAG